TAATATCCGATTGAAAAAGTACTAAAGCGCGCTTAGTTTGAAGATTCACTGAAAATTATCAACGTATTTCTGCAATAGATCTTCATACGGAACGACCGATAAAATTCTGCAAGAATTCTTCACGAAAAAAATCATTCCGCTAAATATGTAGACAAATTTCCATGTGTTATTTTGTTTAACAGAGATTAGATTGTCTGTAAAAATGATTGTGACGATTACCGTGAAACGATTGACGACAGCGGGTATCTAAAGATAATTCACGCCTTGGTTTTATCTTTCGTTTCGTCGCGCAACGATCCGTTCGAATCGCTCGATTCATCCTTATCAGGGGGTACTTTTTACGTTCTCGCCGCGTCGCCTCACGCAAAGGCCGCATAATTTCGCAACGCGCGCATCGATGAAAGTTTTGCGACTGCATAGAACCATCCGGCACACATCTCTCGGCCGACGTGAAAGCACGGATTCGTGTTAGAGCGAGAAGGATCTGACGATAAATCGATAATTCGTTGGAAAAGCATAGGTTGAAGCGGTTGAAGCTGTCGGCGAGTTTCGTTTATTTCTCTTCGATCAGCTCGTGTAGCTGGTACTGGTACAGTCCGGCGAGCAAGTAATCACCTTGTGTGCCTCGTTATGCTGAGGAGTTGATATATGAAAGATACAACCCTTAACGAAGAGCCCGTTTCAATGCAAAAATCATTGCTCGAGCCTCATTGAGTGTATAATTAACAAACACGACCGAATACGGCCCGTGACAAATCCTAAATGCGACATTAATTCGATTGGATGCAGCGCGGAATGCTCGAAATTCATTGCCCTCCCCCCTGCATCGCCCCCCCCTCGGCTCTTATCCTTCACGTAAGCGGTTTCAAGAAGCAAATCTTCGAAAAACGAGAAGCTAACATTTTTGTACGAGAAAAAACTGAAAATATATATTATGCAAGAATTTGTAATTATTTTATAAGCGTTGTTTAATTCTTTAATTATGAAAAATTCCACGTGGATTAGCTTTCGCGTGCACCCTTTGATTGTCATCGAGAGTATTTTCCCGACGTTATCTCATTTGTCGCGGTGCGCGAATATTATAATGACGAATGCGCGACGAGTCGCGAATGTCATGGTTATATACTTTTATAATAACAAAATATATATACGCCGAATACATGCGTGTCGCAATCTCTGAATCATCCCTCGACCGTCAGGAGTTGTCAGACGAAAAGTCGAAAAAAAACGTCGGCCGGTTCGCCGCAAGGCGCATGCGTCCCATCGCCGGAGCGCGAACCTCGGAACGCATTTTACGCGGAAACTGTCGGCGCGATCGGGTCCGCGACCAAATAAATAAGCATGACAAACGGTAGAGAATCCGCCGGCGAAAGTTTCATCCCGATATCTCGAACCGTTCCTGAGATATTAAATGGCCACTTTTGGTGAAAGAGCGGCGCGCGCGAAGCAGGGCACGGGGCGCTCTTCCCGGCATGGCAACGCGCGCGCCATCGACATCGCTCGCGGCAGAAGCGTGTCAGGGCCTCTCGCTCTCAGGCTATACGAATGTAGCCTTTGTAACGTGTTTGCGCTACACACGATTTTTGAACGATATCGATTCGCACGAGAATGATTGTTTTCCATTATAGCTTTTGTGCGCATCGTATCTTGGATCCCGTTCGTTTCAGCTGCATTCCCTTGATGCTCTTTCTGCAAACGAGCTCGGTTTACGGGAAGAGTAAAAAGAGAACAACACGTGGAAAGTGTAACAGAAACCGACAAATTTTATTGCGTACATTGCAGTCTCTGGTAATAGTTATACTGCAAATGTAAGGCTGACGCGAAAGATTTATCGCAAAAGAAGTTGAAGGCAAAGTTTTAGTAAAATTGAAGCAAAATCGCGAAGCTTAACTCAAATATGTTTTCTCCATCGAAAGAGAAATCTTTCAATATTTTTTTTAAGAAGATTTTCCAACTTTATTTAATGCGAAGCTTGATGGAGAGACGACGTACCTTTTGCAATAACCTAATAGTACTGCGCCATATTTAATGGTTAGCATTTAGTTATCGCGCATATATATAGCGGCTCTCGCACATAGGACACGATGTGCTTCGCGATAAAAAGCATGTTTTTCGTGATAAAAATTGACGCGAGAGCTCAATCCACTCTTTTCATTACACGCGTATCACTTTTGGAAAAACGACCGCACGACGCGTATTATTGTACAATAGCCATTATATGTATGTCGTGATATCATAACACATTGTAGATTACGGAACGAGTTCAAATCGATATCGTATAACTAATTCGCGTATTATGAGACAGCCATACTGACATTTCCGAGTCACCTTTTCATTTCCACACGTGGTGTAACCGCAGTACCTAATTATCCATTCTTACGTCAACCTGCCGTCGTTGCCTTTAATTTTATCGAAAAATTTCGCGCAACGATAAGCTCATACAATTTTAATTATTCGAATTAATTTTTGAAATATAGGAACTGTAAAAGAATTGTAAGCCGTTTTTTTTTCAGTAATCGAAATACCGACAAATTCAACCGTTGTCTATATTTATACGCTTATTTTCTAAACATAGCTGCATTTAATTGACAGTTCTAAAACAAAGTAAACATTTGAGAAATATTCATTTTATGATTTACGAACGTAAATCTGTTTGGTATTATAATTCACGAATTTTTGCGTTTGCAGTCAGATTTAAATATATAACGGCGCACCGATTTAATTCCTTCCGTGAGTTAAGCAGATTAAACAAATCAAGCTGCACACGCTGCGAAAATGGATGGTTGCGCTAATTAATTAGATATAAATACCAGAAAAATGTGAAGTACAAAGTACGATATTTTAATCAGCTACATACACCGTTATTTATAATACGTTTTGCGAGTCGAAAAGTCACATACGTACAGTCCGAATAACTTAACTAATATTTTCGATTTTTTTTTTTAAACAGAGAATGCGCGATATATGTATTTTATGTTTGTATATTTCCAACACACCTGTAAATTTCCTGTACCTATTATGTTCGCATGGATGCATGTAACAATTGTATACTCAAGCAAGATCAACTCATACTTGATTATAGCAATTCAAGCTTAAGCAAGCCCGATACTACTCCAGCGATTATAATCCAGCATATAGTTTAAAACGTGTAACTTGCGCGTTATCAAATTTTCAGTCCAAAATATCCATTCCTCACATTCTATGACGCTTATTGTAACATTCGATTACGTAGTTAGCTATGATATCTATAAAAAAGTCTGTTATCTGCAATTGCGGTATAGAATGGAACATCGTGATAGGCACGAGGTGAAGTAGGCGAGGCGGCAGTAAAAAAAAGGCCGCGATTAATGACGTGCGCGACGGCGACGGCGGGCGTCGACGTCGTTGAGGAACAAAGGGGAACGTCGGCCCAGCCTGCTGCAGCCAGGGCGAAGGAGGGGAAGGGGACGATCGCGCGTACTCGTACACGCGACACGCCATCTACGTGGACCTGACTCCGCGCGCGTGTATTCCACGGGTTGCGCAATTCGGATGCAGCGTGCGCGCGCGAGACTGCACGCAACGCGGCGCGGCGCGCCGAAAGTGCGAGAAACGCGTGTGTGTCGCCAGGCGCTTTCCAATTTACGCATCGCTCGCGGGGTTGCGCAGCGTTTTCGTGCACGGCGATTGATTGCGCTCCGCGAAGGGAGGCGAGTCTCGTGCCGGAGGGAGCGCCCGAGAGTAGGTGGAGCGGGCGGAGGCGAGGGGCTGACAGAGGGTAACAGAGGGGTAGAGAGCGAAGCGGAACCCTGAAAGGGGGTACGTACGCGCGAGCACGAACGGACGGAAACGGCGCGAAACGGGAGCGACGGAGAGATGACACGCGAGAGCGAGTACGCGAAGGGTTGGGGAGAGAAAGAGGGCTGGCGAGGTCGGCGGCGCGGGAGCCGGGAAAGATATCAACACAAAGAGAGAAAAGGAAAGACGTGCATGGATGATGGAAGGGAGAAAAAAAGGAGAAAGAGAGAGAAAGAAAGACAATGAATAGAGCGAGAGTACGGGAGAGGAGAATTGCGCGCGCGATGTTAGTGGTCATGGAAAGAAGCGGCATCGCCGCACGGCTACTTGGCTCTCCAGGGCCAGGATATTTCAATACCGACGGTGGTCGGCCACCGACGTGGGACCGAGAGCACGGGGAGGGGAAGCGCGACGACGACGACGACGGCGCGGCGCGGCGCGGCGCAACGCGACCCATGTGTACGTGTGGATGCGTGTGCAGCACGTCGTGCGCCTATATGTATACACGCGCGCGCGCGCGCGAGCATACAACGTCCCCTCCCGTCGCCCGTCCACGTCCCTCGTCTATGTGCCCGCCCTTCGGTGGCCGGTACACACGCTTCGCGTCTCATACGGCTTTACACGGTCGTTCGTCGACGAGAGAAGATAGAGAGAGAGACCCCTCAGTGGCACGGTAGCCGCGCTCCGCTATTCGGGTTTTCCTGCGACAGGGGGAAGTGCGAGAGAGGCGAGGGGGGAAGAGGAGGGAGCCCACTTCTGCCGCCGTCTCTCTCTTCTCGGCGTGGAGAGGGGACGCTCTCTCGCCGAGAGAAACACCGGAGACTTTACACAACGCGATTGTCCGGGGGGGTGGGGGGAGAAGAATGAGGAGGGGAGGGAGAGCCCGAATGCGGCCGACGGGTTCGTCGGTAATGCCCGCCTTCGCGACGCGTCGAGGGGAACCGGAGTGGGCCGTGCCAGGTGCCGATTGGACGTACGAAACGAGTGGGGTTCAGGACGTCGGTGGCGCCTCGCGGACCCGGCCAATCGGGCGCTCTCGCCGGGAGTTTTTTATCCCGTTATTTACACCGAGGACGGAGAAGACGGTTCCCCATATCCCCCCGCCCTACCCGCGCACCATGGCATCTCGCTCGCACCCGGGCGGCGGGCACTCTCCGTCCTATTCGCACCGCGCTCTCCCTGTGCGCCCGTCGGCGCAGGAGAGGACACTCTCGTTTCGGGATCCGTTGAGGTAGCACGCGTATCTCTCGTCACGGGACAGGATAGAGAAAAAGTGTCGGGACTGAGTGTCCGAAGTGTGTGTGTGTGCGTGGTAACGCGCGCGCGTACCGCTCCCGTGTTTTCCGGAAACTTGTGAAACGGCGCGCGCGCTCGCTTTCGCTCGTTTTCGAACGTCAGTGTTCCGAGCCGCCCGCAGGGATACACACAAGCGCCTTACTACGAAACCGCCGTGCGCGCTGGTGTGCGCGCATCGAGTACAGTGAACGCGAATGTGTGTGCGTGACAGAACGTCGCAGGAGGATGCGGTGTTGCCGGATGTTATAGGCGCGAATACGCGTACGCGTAGTGTGCTGTACGTTACGGTGTGAGGCCGCCCGAAGAGAGGAATAGACGCGCGCGCGCGCGCGCTCGTTCGACGGAAAGGGAGAGAGAGAGAGAGAGAGCGCGTACGGCGTCGTCGTCGTCGATCGATCGATTTCGACTCGTTACCGGAGGTGGAAAATCGCGAACTGTTGGCGTTGCTGGCGTAGCCGCCAACCGCGTACGAATTCACGAGCATCATCGCTACGGTGGTGTACGCCACAGTGACATTTGCGGTGCGCGGTGCTATCGATGAAACCAGGCCTGGCAACGTCGCACCGACTGCCCTCGCACACAAACGCGCGCATACACGTACCTAGAAGGGAACTTGGGGTGGCTGGCTGGTTGGTTGGTTCGCTGGCTGGCAGGCAAGCAGGCTAGCGGACAAGCAAACAGGGCAGGCAGGCAGGCCTGGCAGACGGCTTTCTTGTTCCGAGGACGGTGCTCCTGGTCGCGCCGTCTCTCTTTTCTACCTCCATTGCGCTTACTCTTCCTCTCCCTCGGTCCCCCATGCCGCCTCACCCTCGTCCTCGGTAAACTCAATCGCGCTCTCGTTCTCTCTCCTCCTTTTTTTCTCTCCTTCTCCCTCCCTCTCTCCACGATCTTCTCTCTTTTTCTCTCTCTCGTGCCCATGCCGCGCACGTACCGTTGAGAGCCTCTCCCTTCCCCTGCCGCGCTCTTTCTCTGCCTCTCTACCCCCTCTTCTCTCCTCTTACCTCGAACGGATCGGGCGAGTCCACTAGGCTTGCGAGGGGTGTTTGGCAGACCTCGTCTCTAGTCGGCCTCGATCCGCAGAGTGCGTCAGACGCCGCGAGTCGATCGCTCCGGTGCACGGGTGTTCGCGAGCCGTAGCATACGTGAGTTCGTCGTGGGGCCCGCGGATGCCATTGCGCGTCACCTGCGCATAGCCGCGGCCCGCGGCAGTCCGTATTGCGGCCAGTTTACGCGTTCAGCCTGGGACGCACTCGATCAGCGTATATCCGTACGACGGCCATGTTTGGTGTTTACGACGTGAGGGGGAGTCGCTGACGTCACGTACGAGCGAGCGAGCCGATCTCGCCCGAACGGCACGGCGGCTACGGTCGACGGGCGGCAGCAGCGACAGGCAAACGGCGACGACAACGACGACGAAGAGGAAAAACGTGCCGCGCCACACCACGCCGGTAGCCCACCACCGATACACTCGCGCGCCCGCGCACAGCGAGCGGGGCCCACCAACGTTCTCGCCGTTGTCGAATAAGAAAATCGACGCGGTAGAGAGAGAGAGAGAGAAAGAGAGAGGACCGCGTGTACAGTGTATGCGTGCGTACGTACGCGCGCAACCAACGAAACTGGAATCGCTCACCGGGTGCCACTGTTCGGCTCCTCCTTTCCGATGGGACGCGCGAACACGCCGATCTCGCTAAATGTGATCGCCGCTGCTACTGGCTTTCCAAAAAACATCGTCCCCTCCGCCTCCTCCGTCACGCCGCTGAAATAGCACTCGCATCCGTAAAGCCGACTTGCCGCGCGCGACCGATCGCCTCCTCGCGGGAAAGGGAGCAGCGGTCTCGGGCGATGCCGAGCGACGTCGCGCCGCTCAGGCAGATGACGACGGTGACGCGTCGCGGCTGACAGCACGTCCGGGCGATGCGCGATGCGGAGTCGCGAACAAACTGACTGCTCGATTGTCATCGTGGAGGCAACCACACACGATCGCGCCACGTGGTAACGACGCACGCACGTGTCTCTCCTCGCACACGTCTCTCGGGCTGTAACTCGGCGCATGCCGGTGTCCGCGCGAAGGTGCCGCGATCGATCCGACCGGACGATCGTCTTCTCGCGCGACGCAACGTACGACGCACGTGCAACACAGTGATCGCTCTCGATTTACGCGTACCCGCGCGCGCGTGCGTCATTGCGCGTGTGTACACGTACATGCGCGCGTGTCTGTGATCGATCCGCCTGCCGTCGGTGTGTCGTCGTCGCCGTCGCCGCCGGTTTACATATGGTGTTTTGCGGGTTACCGCGCGCGATACGCAGCCACAAGCCGAACGGGGATCGTCCAGGACACCAGGATTAAAAGGATCGCTCCGTCCGTCATTTAAACCATGGAGCTGGGCGACAGAGTTTACGCCGCGGAGCGGATCACGAAGAAGAGGGAAAAGCGGGTTAGTATCTTGATACGGGCGGCCGCGTCCAGATGGCGCTACCAGCCGGAATCCGTCCGCGCGCCGTTACCGCCTCTCTCTCTCCCTCCTACCTCGCACCTCTCTTTATCTCTTTCTGTTTTCTTTTTTTTTTTTCGTTCTCTTTCGCGCTGACAGCCGGCTTCGCGCGGCTGCCGCCGCTTCCACACGACGTTTGCGGCTCGGATATCGGGCATTATGCGCCGCGTATTATTATACGGAGGCCCAGGTATACCAGGGCCTTTTCTGTTAATCCTGTTACCTGGTGCACAATGCCGTTCGCGTACTCGTCGAATCGCGAGTCACACGCTCGGCGGGGGGACATCGATCATCGTCGATCCCACCGGTTTTGCCCATCGGCAAGATGATTATCGATTCGCTTCCGTTAACGAAACCGCGATTTCGCGCCCCGTTACGTTTGCGACATATTGACGGGAAGAATAATAACGGCGTGTCTCTCTCGAAACGCATTCTCCGTTATTTCTAACGTGTAAAATGATGGCTGCGAAAAAGGAGAGAGAGAGAGGGAGTAAAAAGTGAATAGAACTTTCCTCGAAAGGCGGCTCGTTTCTAGCGCGCGATGTTCTCGGAGCGAGTTCTCGGAGCAATTCCGATTATTTATTTTTCTGATTTATTTTCGTTATGCATCTCTCGCAAGCAAAACGCACAATTGCGGACATTGCGTCTAAATCGATTACATTTTAATAAATATACAATAAGTCGCTCGCGCGCGTCTGCTAAAGGCAGTGGAATTAAATAATCATGTAATCATGTATATATAATGTATAGGAAGAAACTTTTACTCGCGCGCGTTGCACGCTTCATTGAAACATTAATATGATAATCTTGGCTCGGCGAATACATGAATACGTATTGGTTGCGTCTTTATTGTTATTGTCCTCGGTCTTAAAAGCAAATTGAGAGAACTGCTGTGTAAAAGAAGGTATCCCCAACCACGCACACTCCGGCACCGACTATACAATTTTCTGGTTAACGGGAGTCTCCGGAGGCGGGCAACGGTGGGCTTGCTGACGGATAGGAGAAAGGCACCGTATGGCATGGCGATCAGCTGGCAGCAACCGGTGGCGTGTTTCTATGAAATGTGTGCGCGCCGCGTAAGGGAGCTGCAGTGCCGCGGAAACTGTAAAAAAATTCCTTTCGCAAAAATTCTTCGCGAAACTTTGCGCGAAGTCGCGAACCCGCGCGCCTCCCCCCCGGGTTTTCACGCCATCCGGAAATCGCGAAGAGGACAAACTTGCTGGAACGAAACGTGTCGTGAATTAAGTCGTAAAGAACAGTGTCGTAAAACAATGCGAAACCCGCCTTAACCCTTTGCGGTCCTGCGGACTCGACGTGGCGCTTTGCGCCGAGTCTTCCGCATGGATTCTCTTCGAGCACTTTTGAATCGCCGCACAATTACAACTGGCGAGCTATCGTTTGCGGAATCACCATGTAAATTCGTTCAAATAATAAAGACTCTTTGATTCGTATTTACACTTAAGAGTAGTTTTAAATTATAACTGAGGAAATACTCGGATCTTCGCTCATTGTAACTTGAGAAATAATTTAAATCACGAAAAGTTAAACGCCAACTTCGCACCGAGACTGCAGTAACGAACCAACGTGGGGGAGAGATTTTTTTTTGTATTCGAGCCGCATCCGCGAGATTTTCTTTCTTCCGGTGCAGTTTAAATCGTCCTGCGCCGCCTGTTCGTACATGCCGCATCGAAGATCACCGTCCGGTTTTGAAAACCGAACAAATCGAACCTCGCGAGGTGATGTGTAAAGCGTCATAAAGCGCATTTTCTCCCCCCGCGAATCGATGACACGATTGTTACGCTATCGACACGTAACAATATCGGGTAACGGCGTCCCCGCGAAGGGACGACAACCTGCTCCGGCGTTATCACGTCGATCACGTCGTCCAGCTTCATTCGTAGGGCTTCATACGCGTGCCGCGTTTCGCGACGTATCGCGCGTGTCATTGTTTTCCAACTGTCACGCCTGTGCATCGCGATGGGGCAGCGGCGTGCTGTTTCTGTCATTGGCCCACCGCCAATGGGTGAGCTGCCCATCGGACATCGACGTAACCGGCCGTGCTATCGACCGTGTTTTATGCCTCGAGACGGTTTCGAAAATTCACGCGTTTTCCATAGCCGCTCAACCGATCTCTTCTCTCCGCTCCCCTCCCCTTTTGTCCCTACATTTTTATCGGTTTTAGGAGCGCGAGGACATCGTCTGTACTAGACGTTGCTGAAGAGCTTGAGGATTACGAATTGAAAATTAGAATTTGATCAATCGGCTGATTTTGTTTTTAATCTGTTTCAGACTTCAACTTGATTTTAGTCGAATTTTAATTAAAATCTCTACTGTAAAAGTTCGAAGAAATCAAAATATTTGAACAAATATAAACATTTTTTTTACATTTTCTGAAATTCTTTTCGTATAAAAAATTTCAGAAAATGTAAAAAAAAATGTTTTTATTTGTTTAAATATTTTTATTTAGAAGAATTATATTTTAATTTTGAAAAACTGATAAAATTAATGAAAGAGTTTCCTTCAAAATTGCATTTTTCAAAAAATGGTCTTTGTGAAAAATTGTTTCAATCGAACATTTTAAATTGAATACGTATTATTTTTTATTCAATTTAGTTTTGATTAATGATTTTTTTAATATCTAGTTTTCTTAAAAATTGTATTTAAAAAAATAAGATAAATTCTCTTTTTTGTGGATGTTTACTATTAAGTTTGAAAGCCATTATATGCTTTCGAAAAATTTTAACGTTTTTCTATGCTTAAATAATTACAAATATAAAAAATAAAATTTTTATAGATTATTATTTGAATTTGAATATGGCCACCATTTAATCTTATCAACAGATTTTTTATCAACGTTATTTCCAAAAATTAATACTTCAAATGCTTTTCGATTTTTTAATGAAATGTATTAAGATTGTTATTACATTTTTATTGTTAAAGCACGAAAATGTTCACAATTCTTTCTAATTTCTAAATATGAAAAATTAATAAGATTAGTTTTTTAATTTGCGGCATTCAATGAAGCGCGTCGTTTAACTTAAGAATTTAATTATTAATTTTACATTGTTGGAAAAAAACTATCTAAAAATGAGTGGAGAAGAAAATTAACATTAAGGTTGAGATTATATTCGAATATACTGGTTTCGATTTCTTTTATCCTTTTTTCTAACATTTTTAATACATAATTTGACGCGCATATTGGAGCACACTTAAAGCACGAAATTCCCTGTCTAAATCACGGTCACGTATTATGCCTGTTGATTAATCGAGAAACTTAATTATTATTGTTATATTACTAATTATTATTGTTATACTGAAATTATTGCTTGTGAAACATTGATGTGTCGAACTGCGGAATATCATCTCTAGCTATTATGAAACAGCGTTGCATAATTTCTCGAACAACGATTAGTCATTAACACGCGGCGAATATTTAGATAGTAAGCATGCGCTTTCCGAATGTGCCTCCGATATGCGAAATTCACATGTCAAGCATTTATGACGTTTGCTCCATATCTCATCACTGAATTAATATCCTTGTCGCTAAATTCATTACTCTGATTTCACGCAGTTTTTCTCATCACTTTCCTCTCTCAACAATCCGTGGTTTTTTTTTCTGTACTTTTTCTCCCATGATACCATCGAGAGATCCATCAATCTCGGAACATAAATAAATGCATTCTACCCCGTGAGGGAAGTTTATTAGTGCGCGGGCGCCATTATTTTGCTACTGCGCATCTTCGGGAATACAACACCTTGTCTATTTCCGCCATGACTCTACCCGTTTATCTCGCGCATTTATCTTGGCCCGGCTTTAAGTGCTTTAACACGTTGACTGACGGCGAATCGCTGCTTTCACCGATCAGCCCGGTTCGATCTGCCCGGCGATCGATAAAATGTGCGAAGGACCGCCGTACGAGACAAAATCGACCGCGTTGCCCGTCGTAACGGCGCGTCTCCCGCGTCGAATTAATTATCGCGCTACGATAGTCTATAATTACGCGCGCTGATAAGCGAGTCGACTCTTACCGATTGGCAGATTTTATCGGTGCACGATCTGTCCGGCGCGCAACACGTGGACGTAAGCGGCATAATCCCGATGTTTCCGTATAAGCACAACTGGCACAGGATAATGATAGATCTAATTACGAGTAAATGTGAAAGTGATTAATGCGCAATTACGCGCCAATGACGGAGGATGCGTGAGGAGACCGAGGTTGTAGAGATGTTGAACGTCGCATCGTGGATGCATCGCAAACAAGATGTTTACGATGCCTGTAGAGAAAAATGTATGCGTGTCAGAAAAATATAAACGTCATTCAAAACTTCTTTCTCCCGTGATCGAAGATACCAGAAAATTTTTTTTTTACCTTTTTCCACGATCGATTATCACTGTTGTTTTATACTCGTTAATATTTTACATCGATATACCCATGTCTCTCGTCACGTTTTTAGAAATATAACAGTTCGATCGCAAATTTTCCCGGACGGACAGACATCCCACGTGGTGACGTCGCGATAATTGAGAATAATGAAACGACAACTCGCGCGCGCTTCCTCACGTGTCGCTCGACGCAGTGACGCTTATCGTATTTGCTGTCAATGTAATTGTGTTAAATGATTCAATAATTTCTCTCCATCCTCCCGTATTTCGGTTTGAATCAACATTCGTGAATTTTTACCGTGTATAGCAGTCCACAGCTTACAATTTCTCGTTCATTAAAAATACACGTGTTCATGTTTTTACGTTGAAAACCGTGGTTGACGATCGTAGAATTAATTAACTTTTTCTTCTTTTTCAGGGGAAAATCGAGTATTATGTCAAATGGAAAGGATGGAGCAAAAAGTGAGTACGAAATCGAAGATCTGTCATTACACGGAACGACGCTCGTGACTGGTGTAATTTCTCTTCTGTTTCAGATACAACACGTGGGAGCCGGAAGAAAATATCTTAGACGTAAGATTAATCGAATTGTATGAAGAAAGTCAAAAAGGCGCAGAAGTAGTGCCCACCAGAAGGCCGAGGCGAACTAGATACAACGTAAGAACAATCTCTCGCTTCAAATAGATAATTATCTACTTCGAATAAATTGCGGGATATCGAGTTTAGTACATCCCATTAAAATTTTAACAAAGTGCAATGGTTAAATTAACTGTACAGTTTTATTAATATTTTTTATATGCATTTTAATAGTCTGTAGTATTTTAAGTAGATTCTTATTATTCGAGTTTAGTAAATTTCGTCAAAATTTTAACGAAGTGCAATGATTAAATCAACTGTACAGTTTTATTAATATTTTTTATACGCATTTTAGTAGTCTGTAATATTTTAAATAGATTTTTATTATTCTTTGCATTTGATTGAATGTTAATTATCTCTAACAAATTATTTATAAAAAATCAGAAAGAAATTGTTAAATGTTTTCCTAAAGAAGACAGATTTCCAAAATAAATGCGGAATATTTTTAGATGGATGCGGAATATTTTAGACGTATTTAGTTAAAAAATTTTAATGCAAATAACATGGTTGTATATATGTATATATAACTTATGCTGCTACCATGTTTTTGGTACGAAGATAACTCAAGAGACCATTTATCACTTCCGCATTGCACTGAATCACTTTAATAGCTTAGTATCTCAGCGAACTTTATGGTGTTCTTCGCTGAGTATAGCTGCTCATAAAATCTTTCTTCATTTTGTAAAACAGTCGTAACTTATAAACTCGAGGGTTAACAGGATCATAAAGTTGGATTAGACATGTGTTTCTTGCACACAACTTAATTGACGGTGATCTTCATTTTCAGGAACAACTGTCTAATCTTGTTGTCGATGAAGAGCCCGGTGGAGACGAGAGGGTAGGCGAAGACAGTCAGGATGAATCGACGACGGGCAGCACTTCGGCGTCCCGGTTAAATTCCGTAGCCCCTGACGAGGATACCCTCCCAAGTTCCTTAGACAGTCATGAGTCGCCAGAATTGGCATCAACGTACAGCGTCGATTCTGACAGTTCGAACAGTAGTATGGACATACCCCTATTACCTAGGAAAGAACGTATGAAAAGGAAAGCGGAGGTCCTCAGCCAGTCCGGCAAGATTGGCGTAACGATTACCACGAGCAGTCCTAGTAGTGGCAGTGGTAGCCCACCTCCGAGCAAAGTTCCTCGGTTATTGCCTTTGAAAAACAACCCCACAAATCCGTCTTATGTGAGTTTCAACAATAATTCCGCAATAAATGATCTATTATCTATATGCTTTGAATGCCGCACTGAAATTAAATTATAACATTATAGGCTTCGAATTTTTTAATGTTTATGAAAAAAATTAAAAATAAGTAAATAAGACTTAACTAATCAAAAAATTAAACATCTGACACATAAAAACTTATTTAACTTACATACATGAATTGCAATCTATTTAGATTATAAAGGGACAAAAGTGTTGCTAATGAATGCACATAGCAAAAGAGAAATAATTAAAAATACCAGTAAATACTAGTAATTTTGACGTTACGTCTTGCTGGTTAGTATAAAAGCAAAGATACTTTAACATTATAGAGTCAACACAAGGCCAACGGACAGAATCAAAGAAGGCCGTCATCCTCCAGCGTGAAGTCGACACCGGAGGAGCCTCTGCCGGCAGTGCCGACGACGCCGGCGCCGGCAGTACAGGACAAGAAGCGTCCCGAAGCTGATGTACCTCACGGTCCGCCACCGTCTCTTCCGCGTGCACCACCGGCACCGCTGTCCCCTCAGATAGACACACCTCTGGAGCAAGTCACGACGAAGAAGAAGCAGTTGTCGGAGCAGCAAAAGCAGGACAAATCAAACGGCGCAGTCGCTGCTGACAAGGCGAACGGTCACAAATCACCAAGTCCCACGGACTCGTACACCAATAACAATAGGTTACCCGCTGTCGTGAATGGACACCATAGCCCTAACAATAACAATAACAACAATACCAACAATAACAACAACAACAACAACAACAATAATAATAGTTCAAGCGTCAAGCAGACAGAGATTTCCACACAGATACAGAAGTCAGAGATTTACGTTCCACTCACGAATCCCGGCACGGATTATTGGCACGCGAGAAATCCCGTGGCGGATCAAGTGTTTATCACAGACGTTACCGTTAATCTGAAGACCGTTACCATCAGGGAATGCAAGACTGAAAAGGGCTTCTTTCGAGAGAGAGATCCCAAAGAAACCCTTTGAGCTTCAAGAACGATATCCGTCGTCCTTGACGGTCCTGCATCGGGGATATCCGCTCTAAGCTGCGTCGAATCACAATGTGTAAATATAAATTATTTTCACTCGTTGGATGTTAAGGCGAGGATGTAATAATGATACCAAGTAAGTTAAACTTCTGATGATTGAGATGAAGATGACGTCACACAGTGTCGCGATAAAAATTGCCAAAGTAATCGAGCATCGCGTAAAGATCTGTAGCATCGAGATATTCTTGGAGTTCCAAGAACATCGAATACCGATGCTGAAATCAAGATCAATTGATCAGCGTTTACTGCATGAGATCCATGAATTTTTTTTCAAACCGAAATTTGATCATTATGTCCAGACAGGTCGTTGTGTGCGATTCTGTGTAAATTGATTGTAAAGACTAGACAATGTCGGTATGATAAGTTTATCGAGTATACATCATACCTGCTATCCATGATATATATTTTAAAAATGCTTGGTAGATTTTAACCACACGCTGAAGATCTGAAAAACATTAGAGGATACTACATTTTCTAGTTGATTTTATTATTTGCTTGTTTTTAGAGCGCTAAGAGAATGCTATAAAGTAAAATCTTCAACTTTCGTTTTTACACTACGGGATATATATTATATATACGAGATATATACCTAGAAACAAAGAAGTATTTTTCTAATTCATTTTTAGAATATTGAAACTGCTTCGCGGAAGCGATTTGGGAGGGGGACGTTTCGAGTTATTTTGAAGGAGGGGAGGATAAAAAAGTAGTTTTCAACGCGTTACGATGTTATATCCCCATTCATCGATGAACTTTTGCTATGTGCTGGGAAATTGAGTGTCGCGAAAGAAAAAAAAAGTGTAAATTAGATTTTGAATGTACGTAAGAAAGTGTAGAGTTCAAGAATTTCGGACGATTACAAAAATGTCTCGTTTGATTCGGAGGAAAACACGATTGCGCACAGTATTTTAATCATTGTCAGTGGTGATAAGTTTTCTCGGTTTCAGTTCAATTCGCGATACCCGTTTGACAACATGCATTTTTCCGTACCGTCGAATGCTTCGTTCAATTTTGTGTATATTCTTGTGTATAATTAAGTATTTTTATTATTTAGTGTAGAACGTCCCATATTATATCGAACGTGACAGTCCCGCGAGATCATTGCATATCTCTTAGTGAATCTATTTTATTTGTAGTTTTCGATCAAGTATCACCAAATAGACGCCTCCTTTGGTGACAAAGGGCGAAATCAGTACAATCCAAATCTGATTTAATTCAAGTTGACACTCTACGTGGTACACTGTCACCTCGTTTTAGCGATGCTGCATCTGGCGAAGGTGCGTTTGGCGCGCGCTTTCACAATCACAATGATGATTAAATTTATATTGTTCAAGATTGATATCGGCCAATCTTCCTCATTATTACTCCGTCAGTGCGTCACCCATTCTTTCTCACGGTAAATGCTCCTATTATTACGCAGAACTTAAAACTGTGTTTTGTTATTATATATAAATGAAAACATTTTATTCCCTGATTTGAGAATAAATTTATAAAATCTCGGTAAGAAATAATAATTGAAAAAAAATCTATGATTTGCGAATGGCTTGTGATACCATGATTGTATCTCAACAGGAATTGAAGCAGCTTTAAATCTTTTTCCTCTCGATATGAATTGAAGAAACGTAGTATTTTGGAATGCAGTACCACGTTTTCTTCTTCCTCATATTTTTTTCTAATTTTCTTCTATTATTTTTTTTATTGGTCGATTTTTTCTCAAATTATGTTTCCTGATTATTAGATTTAACTTTTGTTTTTATACGGAGTATGTCCTGCTGTATGTATGTACTGTAGGAGCCGCGTGAGAAAGAATGAAGAATCCCAAGCACTTACGGGAGTTCAATTCGAAAATAATCGAGAAATATGTTCGAAGAGTGATGAAAAGAAATATAGAATAAGTTAATTTTGTCGATATGATAAAATATTCTCCGGGAGATGCATTTTAATTTAAGCAAGGATCAATTACCCATATAGTTTCGTTCCATGTCTAGACACCAAATACAGATGACAATGATGCTTGTGCTTACTTACGAACGATTGAAATGTTAGGCTCCTTTTTTCGCGTAACATACATGCGTATCATCAACTTCAGGTGTGCATATGAATTGAATTGTAACCAGTGCCTATATATACAACCATTCAGTAGAACAAACAATTATTCCTGAATCTACAGAATTAAGTTTAAAAAAATTAATGGCAGAGATGAAATCAATTTGAAGATAATTCAATACAGACAATGCCACATTCCATATTAAAGAATTTTTAAACTTTATATTTACATATAAAGTTTAACAATATCATATGTAAATTATACTTTGTCGTAGATACATATATAAAATTGCTTACTATTTATAATTTATAAAATTATCTACACGTTTAGTGATAGAAATTTGAAATTACTACATCGGCGTCTTTGCTTCGGCGTTTCTTGTATTAGGCACGTGCAGCATCGCTAAAACGCGGTGCGGTTACTTGATAGAGCAACGGCGCGGTAGGGCCCCTACTGTAGACAACGTTATGTTAAAGAAAAAAGGATTAAATATATATTAAATGCGCAAGATTTAATATATATTTAATGTGCATATATACGTGTTAAATTTAAATAATATACGTTGCTTATTTATTATAACTAATACGAGGACTTTTTAGGTTTCTACATTCTTAATGTAGCTGTAATTAGACTATATATACATATATGTGCGGTGTGTCTGAGAGCGTGTTCGGCACCTGGTAGGACGTTACTTCGTGCGTCCAGCATGATTTAGCGCGTCAGATAACCGCGTCCCCATATGTTGGGACCCGATAAAGTTTTTGAGAAATTTTTCAAAGAAGAAAATCCCGACGATCTCTTGAAAAATGATGATAAAAGAATATATTTATGTGTGCATGTTTGTTCCTTTTTTTTTAACGGGGGCCATTTTTTGTGTAAGATTTAGATTGACATATTCGTTACGATTATCGAAGATGTGCGGAAGATTGAAGTATACATTTCAATTGTTGTGTAATGTAAACCACTGTATATATACATAAGGAAAGCGTTTCCTTGTAAAAAGAAAACTG